GGAGGCTTCAATTAGAGGTGCTCGGCACGTTCGTTTGGGTCCATAAATTTTTACTGGAGGTAAACCTAGACTAGAGAACCTTTGGACCAGATTTCATAATTGTTTGAATTCTCTGTGATTTATTGGAATTATTTTAGTGAAAACTCATTTTTAGCCTTTTAAAAATTATTCTTAAGCTTTGAAATTCAATATCTTTATTTGAAAAATTAGAAAAAATATTCTAAATGTTCCTTGAAGATTAGGAATCAACTTAGAACATTTCCATGAGTTTTATAATTTTTGTGATTTTTATGAATTTTTAATTATTTTAAATATTTAAAATAGGCTAAAAATCAAGTTCTTATTTTAAATATAATTTTATTTTTATTAAATAAAATATAATTTTATTTTTAGAAAATATCCCTGATCACAGAGAACTCAAAAAACTAAGTTTCATAGTTTTTTAGTTATATTTTGATTTTTTAAAAATCATTGAAGTGTTAAAAGTGGTATTTATCTTTAAAAATCAACTTAAGTTGCAAATGAACTCAAAATATTTTGAAATTTTTATGATGAGTTCTCTGGATCATAAATCGTAGTGGAGAATCAAAAATCAAGTCATTTAGATGTTTAAATTTTCTAAAATTAATTATCTTATTGATTTAGTGTTTATAAAATTTAAGGATATTTTAAATGACTTGACCCATAAAATTATTCCAAGGGTTTCTCTAGTCATGGTGGACCTTCCAAAATTTTCTTAGGATTTTATAATCAATATGCTAATTTTCATGATTATTTTAAAGAAATAATGTGAAATAACTCGAAAAATATGGGTCTCTATATAGGAACCTCCTCTAACTTTGGAAAAATCATAGATTACTTCCCCTGACAGAGGCTACAATATGTCAAAATTTTAAGCCAAGGTGATATGATAATATGCATGGAGAATAAAACGATCCCAAACAGTGTTTAATTAATTAAAAATAAAATATGCATCAAATTAACTTGAAATTTTTTTCACACAAATAGACTTTAAAATTATTCCACATTGTTCTCCTCTGTTCACTGAGCAAAAGAGTATTTTTATTTTATTTTTATCATTTTTCTACACAAAGTTACAAATTTTCTAAGTTAAGGGTATTTAAAAAAATAAGAAAAAGCCGTATTTATCTATTTAAACAGCGCGTGCTGATTAGATCCTTGGCAGCTCCGAAGGCATGCGTGGTGCGCTCTGGTTGGACGCCGCCGTCCACGTAGCTTGCTGACTCGGCCCACTGTTTATGTC